AGACATTAATAAATCTAAAAGAAAAGGCACTGAGTTTCAGTATATATATGGATCCTGTGTAAGTAATGTGTCCCAGGAACTGACACTTTGTGAGAGCCAAGACAGCAAGTTCATCCCCGCCACTACGCAAGGTGTTACCAGCAAGTCTATTCTCAACCCTCTGTTCCCATTCACTCTGCACAGACCTCCACAAAGATGAAGTGACCTTCCCACATTATGTTTCCACAATGTTTAATGAGAGTTTCTCCTATACCTATAAGCTCTTCAGGGAAGGGATTGGGTCTTGCTCTATTTTTTGTGCCTTTGTACTTAGCAAAAATTGATTCAAACTCAATACTCAGTAGGTCCCTGATACATTACATGAATGTCGGACAGTTTCTCCTAAGTCTTAACAACACCAGGCCCTAAAGAAATAATCAGTAAGTAAATGGCCAGCATCCCAAGTGAATATCTTGAAACCACACCTCTGCAGGTCACCATCTCCATTCACATACCTCTTGATTGCCAACACTCTAGTTTCTTTCCTTTGTGGCTTCAGATGTGGTCACCTCCACAATGTTATAACAAGCATCAGTTCCAAGCCCTTCTACTACACAAGCCCTGCCAAAGGCTTGAGTCAAGATGAATGTGATATTCTCTTCTGTTCACATGTATATCATGGCAGCTGTACTATGATAGGAAGAAAACTGTCACTTTGTCAGCAGTGCCAACTCTAGCAGATCTTCACCAGTCCCTTAACCTCTCTCTGATCAACAACCTTCCCAATTCCCTATAGAAGGGTTTCCAATCTTGTAACTCCTGCACTTCCAGCAGATAATTTGCTTATCTGTTCACAAAGGAAATAAGGATCAAATGGCCTGAGCTTTCCCACTTTCTCACTCCCTTACTTTTGCTTGTCCTAGACAAATCACACATTTTTCTTCTTTTGTTCTGCCCAGTGAGGGGACAGATACTAGCTACAAGGACTGAAGAGAGGGTGATGGAGGAGAAGTGAACAGCAGCCAATAACTAGCTGTTGAGAAACATGATAGCAAAAGGAAGCAAAAATTTATTCTCCCCATAATGGGGAAATATGCACACAGGAGACTGAAAAGGCCCTGGAAATGCAGTAAGAAAGGGTGCCCAATGTCAGAGAAGACATTGAGACATGGACAGCAGAGATGCAATAGTTAAAGATGTAGAAAGTCTTCTTTTCTAAGACAGAAGGCAAGGATAAAAAGAAACAGAAGCAGATACTGGAAACAAAGATGACAGCAGAAGGGAAGAAGGAATTCACATCTATTGGACACACAAATTGTATTCAACAGCATTCTATAGATGCTAAGTGCAAGAATTTGAGATTTGGATAGCTCAGGCTTGAATCCCAAGTTAGCCACTTATTAGCTGTGTGATTATAGAAAAGGTATTTAATTTCTTTAAGTCTCAGTGCCCTCATTAATAAAAATGGAAATAATCCTAACACCAATCTAAACTGCTGTTATGTGGATCAAAGAAATTACACACATGTTGTGCTCAGTACAGTGTCTGGTACTGAGTAAGAACATAATAAAAGTTAATTATTACAAATTATCACCAGGCCCTGTACTAAGTTTTTTTTTTTTTAAACCTAAGTAAGATTGTTCAGTCTTCACAGCAAAATATTTAGTAGGAGAAAAACCAAAGTTCTAAAGAGTTAAGTGATTTACTAAGTAGTAGGCATCGGGGTCAGAAGTTAACCAATGCACAACGAATCCATTAAATGATGAGCAAAGCTCTTCTACTGAGTGACAAATGGGATGTTTTAATAATGGGCCAGTAGCCCACACCTGTAATCCTATTCACTCAGGAGGCTTCATTAGGAGGATCACATATTTGATCAACCTAGGCAACTTAACTGAAATCCTGTTTCAAAATTTAAAAATGAAGGAAAAAAAAAAAAAGGCGGGCACATATCTCAGTGGTAAAACACCCCTGGGTTCAATCCCCATTACCACAGCATGGGGGAAGGGGCAGAGGTTATCCATCTTTTTTTGTTTTGTTTTGTTTTTAGCTGTAGATGGACACAATACCTTTATTTTAATGTGGTGCTGAGGATTGAACCCAGTGCTTCACATGTGTGTGCGAGGCAAGCACTTTGCTACTGAGCCAAAATCCCAGCTCAACCATCTCTATCTTAAGAGCAGAAAAGATTTCAAGCAGTGATAAAAAAGAACATGATGGGGTAATAAATAGAAAGGATGCTTTGACAAAATTAGACAAAAAGACAATTTAAACATTGATGTGAAATGACTCTGTATTATTTTGTGTTAGGTCTGTGAAATCACACGTTAAGAAATACTACTTTATACTGCTTCCCTCCACTATGCTGAAGTAGGCTTTTGCTAGCATTTTATTTTATTAAAATATATATATATTTTTGGTAATAGGGAGTGAACACAGAGGTGCTTTACCACTAAGCTACATCCCTAGCCCCTTTATTTTATTTATTTTAAGGCAGGGTCTCACTAAGTTACTTAGGGCCTTGCTAAGTTGCTAAGGCTGGCCTCAAACTTATGATCCTCTGGCTTCAACTTCCAGAGCTGCTGGGATTACAAGCCTGTGCCACCCCTCCCAGCTCTTGCTAGCATTTTAGATTTTATCCTAAGGGTAAGGTCAACTCCCAACAGGGTTTTGGCATTCACTCTGGCTACCATGTAATTCACAGACTCCCTAAAAGCAAAGGAAGACAGTAGTGACCTAGACTAGAGCTACTCAAAGTAGCCATTCTGTGAACTATTCCCAAGAGACAAGTAATGCTAGAATGCAAAGTTACCACTGCCTTTCATTGAAGAAATCTTCTTATGAAAAGGAAAACAAACAAGAATCAGTGGAATTAAACAATGAGCTTACTTGCATTTTAAAGGGTCTTTAGGATAAGACAGACAAGAGGAAGCTAGGTCATAAGAATAAAATGGAAAGCAAAAATATTAATTCCCTGCTTATCAAATTTACCCTATAATGGAGGACAAAAACATGAATCAAATAACTACTCTATTTATTGTTAATATTAGAATCTGAATAAGTTCTTCAAAGGATAAAAATGTGCAAGTAACAAAGTAACCTGACCCAGTTTGGGGTCTTAGGAGAAAGGGATGCTGAAGATTGATTGAGCAGTGTTTACTAAGTGGGGAAATGAGGGTAACCCGGATAGAGGGCAGAGGCAAGCACTATGCTACTAGAAAGCTTTCTTCAGGTTAGTTGGTGCTGAAATTTCACTACTGTACAGCTTCCATTTCTCCACCTTTAAGGTTATTTTGAATGACAGAGTGACAAGCCCAAGGCTAAAATGAAGTCTAGTTCATCAATCAGTTCTTACAGAATCCATCTTCTTGAAACTAGGAACATCTTCCTCATTTTCTTACAATATTCCCCCTTAATATGTGATCCTTCAATGTCAACTCCAGGCCCTAAATCTCCTAAGTTCTCTTCTCATTCAAGATGTACTTTATCAGAACCAGAAGATTTAATTTAAGCATGCAGAATGTTTTTCAAAGTGAGATCCAAGAACCCAACTGCATCAGAATTGCCTAAGGTGTTTTATTAAAATACATCTTCAATTCCTGGGCACCACCATAGACCAATCAAATTAAGAGTTGACAGAGCTCAGAAACCTGAATTTTAACAAGATCCCCAAGGGATCCTTCCATATTATTGTAGAGAGTCCTTGAGTTAGTTGTGTTTTCAAAGCATCCACATTCAAATGGAGCTTCATGCCCCCAATATTAAACTCCCTTAAGTCTGAAGTGCACTTCTCTTTAAGTAATCTGGCAAAGATGACAAAGCAGGCTTTTGTAGTCAATGATTTCAAATCTGGTTCTATTATTTGCCATCTAGGTGATCCTGGACAGGTTAATTAATTTTTTCCAGGTCTCAATTTCTTCATTGATAACATGTGAATACAAATATATTCATGGAGATGTGGTTGCAATTAAGCAGGAGAGCCAGAGGAAGGCTATCATTCTTTGGAATATTTATTGAAGTCTACATACCATTTATACCAAGATGAATAAAACACTACTAGGCACTGTATACAAGGATGAATGAAACATGGTTCCGTTCATTACACTGCTGTTTCCAGGTTCTTGCATCTGTGCCTTTGAGGTTAAGGTCTAAATATTTTTTGAGTCTTTTCTAACCCATGTGCTGTCTTCTGTTCACAGATTCCACAAAATAATGTAGATACTCCCAGCCCTGAACTGTCTGAAGCCTCCTCAGCACTATACTAAACCTCTAGCATGGAATCACACTGAATCTTCTCCAGCCTTATCTCTTGCCAATTCTCCACACTGCTCAGATAAGAGTATGCATCTAATTTCAGAGAACCTCGGATTAAATGCTGGTTCTACTGCATATTGGCAATATGGCTTTGGCACAGGGACTTAAACTCTGTGTGCTTCATTTTCTTCATCTTTTAATATATAATAATGCCTATTTTAGGAGAATTAGATACTTTTTGAGGGGGAGTATTAGATACTTAGTAAACTTAAATGTCACTTTTCCAGGCTTTGAGATCCATCCCCCCTCAATTTTTCAATGAAATAGGTTAAATATCCTAGTCAAACATCGTCATTCATTTCATTGTAGCACTTATTATCCTAATTCAATGTTTGCTTACCCCAGAAAAATAGGGAGCATGCACCCTGCACAAAAGTCAACTCAGAAATGGATAAAAGAAGTAGGAATTAGACCAGAAACTAGGCAACACATGGAAGAAAATGTATGGTCAACACTTCAACATGTAAGAGGAGGCAACAACTTCCTCAGTAGGACTCTTAAAAGTTCAGAAATACCACCAAGAATTAATAAATGATGGATTAGGGATGTTGCTCAGTGGTAGACTGCTTGCCTAGCATTTGTGAGGCACTGGGTTTGATTCTCAGCACCACAAATAAATAAAATAAAGGTCTATTGACAGCTAAAAAAAATTAATAAATAAAGTGGCATCAAATTAAAAATCTTTGCTAACTATTCTTTTTTTTTTTTTTTTTTGTAATGAGGATTGAGCTCAGGGGCACTTGACCACTGAGCCACATCTCCAGCTCTATTTTGTATTTTCTTTAGAGACAGGGTCTCACTGAGTTGCTTAGTGCCTCACTTTTGCTGAGGCTGGCTTTGAACTTTGGATCTTCCTGCGTCAGCCTCCCGAGTCGCTTGGATCACAGGCATACACCACCATGCCCAGCTCTACTTTGCTAGCTATTCTTGACAGAGACTTGATATACAGAATACATAAAAATCTCAAAAAACTTATGCCAAAAAAATTAATAAATGGGAAAAATTATTTTCCCATTTATTAACACCTCTTATTATTATTTTCCCATTTATTAACATACACATTAGATTTCTATGGGACATGATTATTTTAACTCTCTGCCTAAAGGGTATGTTGTATTTCCCATGGTTCAAAAACAAAGACATAACAGGGCTGGGGTTGTGGCTCAGTGGTTAAGTACTTGCCTCACATGTGTGAGGCACTGGGTTCAATCCTCGGCACCACATAAAATAAATAAATAAATAAAATGAAGATATTGTGTCCATCTACAACTAAAATATTTAAATAAAACAAAGACAAAACAAAACCCCTTAATGTCCTCTCATTTTTACCTATAAGGAAACATATTCCAACTTTTCATAGTTTTTCTCAATATTGATATTTTTGATGCATGGGCTACTCTATTATCCTTGTGAATATGTCTGATTCTTTTCAGTAGGGCATAGTTTCCTACAACCAGTCATTTTCAATGTTGGGTGTCATCGCAACAAATTCCAATGAAGTAGAGATTTGCCATCCTGTGGCTACTCTGTTATCTATGCTGTCAACATTATGGTTAAGAACAGAAGGTCTGATTGGGCACAGTAGAACATGCCTGTTATCCAAGTTACTTGGGAGGCTGAGGCAGAAGGATCACAAATTCAAAACCAGCCTCTGAAAATTAGTAAGATCCTGTCTCAAAATAAAAAACCATAAGGGCTGGGAGCTGGGCAGGTTGGAGCACGTCTGTAATCCCAGAAACTTGGGATGCTGAGGAAGGAGGATCACAAGTTTGAGGTCAGTCTTAGCATCTTAGACTCTTGGCCACTTAGTGAAACCCTCTTTCAAAATTTAAAAAATAAAAAATAAAAAGGGCTGGGAATGTAGCTTGGTGGTAAGCATCTGTGCTTTCAATCCTCAGGATCAAAAATAAGATGGAATAAAATAAAATATAAAGGGCTGGGAATGTAGCTCAGAGATAGAGTGCCCCTGGTTCAATCCCCAGTACTGCAACAAAACAAAACAAAACACAGGAAGTATGGGGCCAGACAGTTTTGTTGTTCTAGCCAAAAAACTCACTAGCTCTGTTAACTTTATTACTATTAACAGCTCTGTGCTTCAATTTCTTCAACTGAAACATCTGGGATGATAATGGTGTTTACTTCATAGGATTGAGAAAATTGATCTTAGAAAGGTGCCTGGCAAGTAGTTAAGTATCCAGCAAGACATGACGACTATTTGTATCATTATACACATCCCAGAATTGCCCGAGGTTGCAGAAATAGCTAAATAGCAGAATAAACACTGGAATAAGGTCTTACCCCTAGTCAAATATTTCTTTCATGAAACCAAAGCTGCTTTTTCCAAAAGCATAAGCCCTAGAACTAAATTAACGCATGCTGTTTATTGCATTTCAACGTTTTAAGAAATGCAGAAGCCGACAAAGGCAGTCTACTGTCGTGTTGCCCACTAAATTGCAACAAATAATCAAAACAAGTTTTGATAATACCACTATCACTAGGTCAAAGGGTCACCGACGCAAACGAAATTTCAGGAAACAAAACAAAGCAAAAAAATTCTCTAGTCGCTCAAGGAAATTGTGGACCACGGAGAGTTGGTTTCAGAGCTGACCCGGCTCGGCCGAAGCTGCGCAGGAGGAGGGCGAAGCCAAATCTGCCCTTTGGACCCTCCCCCTCAAGTCTCGGAGCTCCAGACTGCGCCCGCCCGCCCCTCACCTCCGGCTCCGGGCGCTCCGAGGCCATCACACATCCCTCCCGCACCGGCCCGGGCCAAGGAGGATGTTCCACTCTTGACCCCTGACCTGTCTATCTCGTCACGAAAATAAAAGCGGAAGTGGATGGGAAGGCCGAGTTCTGAGCTTTCTGATTGGTGGATGAAGCCCTCTCAGTCGCGCTAGCTGTCTGGGAAACCGGAAGAGGAAGTCGTTGCTGCAGCTGTCCCGCAGCAATGCAGGTGAGAACCCAGTTAGGTCTCCTGGCAGATAGCTAGCCCGGGATAATAAGACTGAGAGTGGCCTGGCTGATGAGAGTGAGGAGCTGGGGAGGCAGAGCCTGCGGCTGTTATGGAAAAACTGAACGGGAGATTAGGGGCGAGGCCAGCTGGAAAGGGAGCGCTGAGGCCAGTGGGGGTTGAGGCGACTGACAGGAGAAGGAAAGACTCGGCTCAGGCGAGAGCAAGGATGCAGCGCTAACCTCCTGAATGTTGGGAAGGATCAGGTTGTCATTTGGGAAAGCTGAGGATCAATCTAAGGAAAGACGGCTCAAGAAAGTGGTGGACTGACTCAGGCCCCAACTAGGCTGTTGGATGCAGACAAACAGGGGATCTGTAATTGGAGAGAAGCCCAAGGGCTGAAGGAATTGTCCGCAGAGGCCAAAAGCTAAACTATTTATAAAAATCTCAGGCTGTGGGTGGAACCCAAGGTCAAGCTCCTGTCGAGCACGCTCCCAGGTTTGCAAGACTGTTTTGCGTCATTCTTAACCAACTTGTGCCCAATAGTTGTTAAGGGTGAAGAAATGGAATAATATAGGATCGTCTGACAATGGGAAGGAAATGCTTTACAGATTCCCAGAATTTAAAATTGTTTGTCTGGCTCTCAGAAATGTGCGAGTTTTCTTGTTTTTCATTTGTCATGTACTTACACTGATAGTCTCTCAATAAATGCTCATGGGTCAACAGACTTGTGAAAGAGGCATGGGAATATTGGCAGAGATAAATGAGTGCACATTAACTCAACAAAGAGAAGGTCAAAACATCAAATGCTAAGGAGGCAGGGCCGAGAGAGAGTGCAGAGCTGGTTTTCAGAGAAAGCTTTATGTATAGGCAGATGTCCCAGAAATTGTGTTGTTGACAAGAATAGCACAAGGCAGATTCTAAGAGGAATATGGTATACATGTGCTGCAGAGGCACCCATAAGATAATGAACAGGCACTGGATCTGGTGAAATTTCTCAATGAGGAACAGTAGGGTGTACCTAAAAAAAATAAAAAAAAAATCATGAGAAGAACCATGCCTGGATTTGGGGTAATAAGAAAATCAGTTGGTAAGTAGGAAGAGTTGAGGTCAGGTGAAGGGGTTGAAAGGTCTAAGGGTTGATGCTGTCTGTAACCCAGATGCCAAAGGTAGAAAACAACTTGGCTTTTCAGCTTTATTCTGTATGTGTCACACTTTTGTGTCTCTCTGGGTAACCAACCTGTTCCTATTTGCAGCGAGAGGAGAAGCAGCTTGAGGCATCATTAGATGCACTGCTGAGTCAAGTGGCTGATCTGAAGAACTCACTGGGAAGTTTCATTTATAAGCTGGAAAACGAGTATGACCGGCTAACCTGGTAAGGGTTTCCAGGGCAAGCTGGGGAGGGCTTACTGGGTGGGGGGGCCAGGCCTCTGATGGATAGGACATTTCTAATGATGTAACCATTTATCAGTTTGTAAACATCTTTGATTTGGAAAGAGTTGGGTTGCCCAACATTGAAGTAAAGTTTGGCTTAGGGCCTCCATGGTAAGGAAGTAGAGAAAAGCTCAGTTTCCCAAGCCAAGTTGTTTTTGATCCTTACACTTGGATTTTTTTTTTTTTTTTTTCTGGTGAAGAGGCTCTCTTTGCTGGATCTCTTTCCACAGATGTGGCTTTTAGTCTTTTAGATCCAACCTACTCAGGAATAGTGGATCTTATTTCCAGGTTGGAAAGGAGAATTTTACCCAGTTTCTGAATTTTCAGTTGTAATACTATAGCTATGATTCCTATTTTGCCAGTGTTTCTCACCCCTTTCAAACAATGAACTGCCTTTTTCTGTATCTGTGTCAGAAACTGAAAGTGTGTCCTTCTTTCCTAACCCCATCATTCCTGTTAGCCAATTTGGTTCTCATCTAGGCTAGTCATAGGGCTATGAGTCTTTTGAGCCTCTTAATTATTACATTACAGGGAAGGGTTGGAACATTCTGATACTTTCTTACCACCACCAGGCCCTCTGTCCTGGACAGTTTTGCATTGCTATCTGGACAGTTGAACACTCTGAACAAGGTTTTGAAGCATGAGAAGACACCACTGTTCCGTAACCAGGTCATTATTCCTCTGGTGTTGTCCCCAGATAGAGATGAAGATCTCATGGTAAGAAGAGAAAAAAGTGTACAACTTGGGAAATTAAGTTCTTAGATGAAAGTCTAAGAATTTTTGATTGGTTATTCTAGAAGTTCTAAATGTGGGCTAATATGTGGCAGTGAGAAGGAAGGACTGCATTTTGGAGGCCTTGCTTTTTTGTCCTGGAGGTGAGAAAGCTCCAGATGCCTATATCACCAAGACTTCTTCCAGTATCTGACTTGCAAAAAAAAGTCCTTTTGTGACTTTGTCTATTCCATTCTTTGATTAAAATGTGGCAAAGAGAGGGGTTTAATTTGCCCTTAAGTATGGTATAGATAGCCATGTGAGGAGACAGTGTTCTAAGAAGCTAGATATTGTGTTTCAAGTTGTTTTCCCTGAAAATGCACTGTTTGCCTATAGAAAGGAAATAAGGCTAGATTGAATTCTTGGAGTACATGGTAGGATCAATAAAATCTGTGTTACAGCGGCAGACTGAAGGACGAGTACCTGTTTTCAGCCATGAAGTGGTCCCTGACCATCTGAGAACCAAGCCTGATCCTGAGGTTGAAGAGCAGGAGAAACAACTGACAACAGACGCTGCCCGCATTGGTGCTGATGCAGCTCAGGTTGTACTAAGTCACTGCCCTGATGATCCCATCTCCATCCCTTGATGAGAAGCAAACATTACCACTCCTATGTAGTAGAGATACTCAATTATTGCACTAAACTGTCTCTGGAAGAAATTCTCCATAGTCATTTCCTATTTATTTTAATCACTGCACCATTTATATATTACAGAAGCAGATACAGAGCTTGAATAAAATGTGCTCAAACCTTCTGGAGAAAATCAGCAAAGAGGAGCGAGAATCAGAGAGTGGAGGTAAAGGAGTATTGGTGACAGAGGGAGACGTGTATAATAAGATGACTGGAATAGCCATGGTGGTTTGGGTGGTAATAAAGTGAAGACACAGAATGAACTGCTTAGAAAAGGGTTTGCAAACATACTGCTAGCCTTTTGTGTTTAAGGCCAGCCCTGAAGCAGGTAGAAGAAATGGCAAAATGAAAAGGGAAAATTTGAGGATAGGTTGGAGGGTATTCTGACTTTTCCTCTGGACTGTGAGAGTCTAGATGATGCTGAAGTCAGAACTCCAAACCCTGGCAATCTGCAGGCCCTCCAGCTGCTAGGTTCAGACCTAGGACCAGATGTATACTTCATGGTCCTCCTTTTTCTTTAGGTCTCCGACCAAACAAGCAGACCTTTAACCCTGCAGACACCAATGCCTTGGTGGCAGCTGTTGCCTTTGGGAAGGGTCTGTCTAATTGGAGACCTTCCGGCAGCAGTGGTCCTGGCCAACCAGGCCAGCCAGGAGCTGGGACAATCCTTGCAGGAACCTCAGGATTACAGCAAGTACAAATGTCAGGAGCTCCAAGCCAGCAGCAGCCAATGCTCAGTGGAGTGCAAATGGCTCAAGCAGGTCAACCTGGTAAGGTGGCAAGGGTGGAAATGTAATTGACTTTGAACAGGGGAGTAGAGATGATCAGGATTATCTAGGCTCCCAGCATCCCCAGACCTGGGAGTTTTCTCCTTTGCATAGTGACTCAGAAAACAATTTTCAGCAGTAAAAATTCTCATCTGAAACTCTGAAGTAGGCATCCGAGAGTAAGGAACAACTTTGAGTAGGAGAAACTGCTCTCAATTTCTACCCCATTTCTTACCTCTTTCTCAACTGTCCTGTCCCATTTACTCTGGAGATTAGGTTTGTGGTCAGTGTCTCTTTGTGGGTAGAAAAATCAATGGTCAGCTAGCTGTGGAGTGCTCTCCTGTAACCCCAGTGATTTAGGAGGCTAAGGCAGGAGGATTGCTTAGGGCCACAGCAACTTAGTGAGGCCCTAAGAAACTTAGAGAGACCCTCCCTCAAAATAAAAAATAAAAAGGGCTAGGGATGTTGGTCAGTATGTAAGTGCCCCTGGGTTTAATCCCCAGTACCAAAGAAAAAAGAAAACCAGAGGTCAGACCTTACTTAATCAAGGTTATTTGGAAGATGCATCAGGAATTGACAAGGAGGCAGTTTCTTGTTCCTACTGGTATTATTTTCTTTGTATCCTGTCTCTCTTGCCTTCCTGCCTTCTCTTGTACTCACTTTTAGTAATTAAGAGAATAGTCTGGAAGAGTTCAGATGCAAGCAGCAAGAAGAGTTATTTCTTACATGCTGTCTAGGAAAAAAAGACAATAGAATCAAGAGAAAACATAGCCTTTTTTTTTTCTTTCTTTCTTTCTTTTTTTTTTTTTACTGGGGATTGAGCCCGGGGCACTCTACCACTGAGCTATATGCCCAGCTGTCTTTTTTTTTTTCTTTGAGCTAGGGTTTTGTTAAATTGTTCAGGCTGGCCTGAAATTTGCAATCCTCCTGCCTCCTGAGTAGCTGGGATTACAGATACGTACCACTGTACCTGGCAAGAATACAGTACTCTTACCTGTAACACTGAAAAAGGATCACACAGGTTTTTGTGTCTTTTCTAGGAGTAGATAAGCAGGACACCTCTCCCACTATTCTCCCAAATCATCCGTTTCCTCCTAGATACCTTCAGGGAGGGAGCTGGTGAAGAACCACGCCTCTGATCTCTGCCAACCAGGGTCAGATGCCACAGGGGTTCTGCAATGATAAAGGAGATGGCAGGAGGGAACCTGAGAAACGACATTTCTGATTTATTGTGAAAGTCTTGCCTTGCTTCAGATGTCTTTCTTCGTATTCCTTTTAGGGAAAATGCCAAGTGGAATAAAAACCAACATCAAATCAGCTTCAATGCATCCCTACCAGCGGTGAGTGTGAACAGCAGCCTCCAGTACCAGGTGATCTTGCACAGTTGTGCAGTCATATTACCTTTGCTCAAGGCTCACCTAGATGGGTGCAATAAACAGAACATGGGCTTTCAGCAACAGACAGAGCCCAGCTCCACTGGTGACTAGCTATATGACTTTGGGCAACAGACCTAAGTTTTCTGAACCTGTTTTCTCATTTGTAAATGGTGATGATACCTACCTCATAGGGTTGTTATGAGGATTAAAATGAGAAAATGACTGTAAAACATTTAGCACAGTATATGAAGTAATGGGTGCTCAATAAATGGTTGTTTTCATAGCCACTTCTTCACCCTGCCCTCCATAGTTCTTGATCCAGAACCCACCTGATGTGCTGCTATTCCTTTGTCATTGGTGAGCTGATGAACCCAGAATCAAATAAGCCTGTGCTTATTTTGTGCTACTAGAAACAGTAACAGCCTGGATGTCCTTTGAGGCATATTGGCTCTCAGGTGTCTCCACTCAGGTTCTACCCTGTTGTCCCTCTAAGGTTCAGATGAAGAGACTTCTGGGTGGGGACAAACCTTCTACCTACAGCTGTAATGAAACTTAGGCCTGTCAATCTCTGAAGGCAAGTTAAATTCTTATATGGGAAATATGTAAAAATCCTCATCTTTTATCCCATCTTGTACACATGAAGGAGGATATCAAGGGGCCAGGCGAGACTGTGTGAGAAAGGGTTTTTCTGTAGCACATGTAAATCTCCTTCTTCCTCTTATTTTGGAGGAAGAGGTGATTGCCCTTCACACTGTCTTTAGGGTTTAGTTTGTATATAATTGTGCCTTGTTCCTGAACACTGGTCAGGATGGTTTTCCTCCATTAAATTAACTCTATGGTTTAGGTAAGAGCCAGATCAATAGTGGGAGTGGGCAGCCCAATAGCATTGCCTACTTTATAGAGTTGAAGAGCAGAGTGTGTTTGGACAACCAGCCTGTGCTGCCTTTCTCAGTACTCCTTTTTGAGCAAGTGCAGAGATTGAATCAGCTGAAGTGGACCAAAGGATTTCTCTATGAAATAAAGGTATTTAAATTGATATTAACTAGCTCAGCAATTTATGAGAGCCGATATAGGGAATCAGAGACAATTCCATTAGTGAGTGCTACAAGGCAATTCAAATTTGTTCTCTATAAAACATTGATCTTTAATTAGCTTTGCACTAGAAACCCTGAGACTTTCTTACTTCTCATCCTTCCAGCTGCCTTTCCTGTTCTGTCACACTGGTACTTTGGCCTTTGATTGGTACCAAATAGCACTCTGCCAGGCTGTGGCAGCAGAGGCCAGGACAAGTGGTCCTAGTTGTCACCTGTTGCTGTCCCAACAAGATGCGGAATGATGTCCATAAAGCTTAGTGACCACAATACACTGCAGTAGGGGAGTCCTGTCATCAGCTCTGAGGCAACACCAGACCTTTCCCCCATTTGAATAGTCTGGCCCATTAACCCAGTCACGTGTTGTTTATCTTCTTACCTTTTTCCTTCCCACTGGAAACATCAGAGCTAACTAGGATATTGGACAGAGCTCCAGCCATACTTCTATAAAACCCCTGGAGCAACTTTTGGTGACTTTCTCCTTTACTTCACCAGTGGTACCAACCCTATGTTTCTTTGTTGTCTCAGCCTGATACTGACTTCATTCACATAAAGCTATTAAAGTGGATTCTGTGTCCTCCAAGAACAAATATCCTCCTGTCCCAACAAAAATAAATGTACAAAATTATTTAAAAATAAATGTACAAAATTACCTAAATCTTTTGCCCTTAAGCAAAAGATTTTACTTCTTACTCTGGAGTGCTCATACCTAAGTATTAGTCATTCTGCGAGTACATGCTCTCTTTTCCAACCCACCCCCCGCCTGAGGTACATGCTTTCATTTCCACCTTCCACCTCTGGGTACACAAAGCTGTCACATCTCCCACTTGGGGGCCCATACAACTCAGAACCCAGAATGGAGAGAATGTATCTCTCCTAGCAGTCCCTAAGGAGGGACTGTATATGAAGTTTCCTTTGAAGAAGAGAACATTATCTGCTTACCTGCTCAGATTTAAGATTTGCAAAAGCTGACCGGTGGCCTACTCTGGTAGTTTCTGTTTCTTACTGTCCTGTTTTGCTCAGGGATTGTACTTTCTCCTACCCTTGGGGCCCAGGGAGAAAGGGATTAGGCCTTGTTTCCCAGGTTGTTTCTGGGATGGAGAAAGAAGCAACAGCTGTGAAACCTCAAGTACCACAGCACAGTTCATCCCACAAAAGATGGAGACTTATTGAATTAATGTCAGCCTAATGCCCATTGCTTAGAACCTCTCCAGTTCTACCTTGAGGCTGGGATTCGGTCATTGCTGAATCTCCTTTTCTTCATTGCCCAGGTTGCGGTGTTCTCTTCCCCTCCCTGTGTGTATTGCTTCTCTACTTAGCTGGCTTACCTTACTCAGCCATGAGCTTTTTTGGGAAATGGCTAAGATAGGTTGTAGCCAAGTACTCCTTCCCACTCCATAATGGGTTCCACCATTGGGCCTGAGCTGGAAGGGACGTTATAGCCCACCTCCTGTCATGCTGCTGGAGAAAAGAAGCTGAACTCTGCAGGAATGCCCCAGTGCAAAGCTGGGCCCCTTTCCACCTCCCCCAAGCAGCTGGAAACAACCTCTCCCTTTGTCTGAGTTTCTTGTACAGAATAATCCTCCTTATGGACAATGTATTCTCTGTGTCCCATGGACACAGGAGCCGTGTGAGCTGATCCCAGCACCAGGCAGGACGGAGGCTGAATCCTTCCAAACGCCCACCCTGGGTTAGCTCCTAGAGGAACTACTAAAGGGTGAATATTTTCTTCTGTCTGCCTCAGATTTGGGGGAATAGCCTATTGCAGTTTAGCATTGGCCAGGACCAGAGTTTTCCTTTTTTTGCTCAGCCTTGAGAGTCCACAGTGCCACTTTAAGTATGTTTGATGTGGTTTTTGCCTGAAAGTCTCAAATGCATAGGGGCACGGGGCTTGGTGGTGCACTCTTGTAATCTCAGCGACTTGAGAGACTGAGGCAGGAGGATCCCAAGTTCGAGGCCAGCCTCAGCAACTTAGTGAGACCCTATCTTAAAAAATTAAAAAAGGGCTGGGGATGTGGCTCAGTAGTTAAATACCTCTGGGTTCAATCCTGTTACCAAAAAGAAAGAATAGCTAGCACTTGGAAGGGGTGTGCAGACAGTACTTTCTGATTAGAACAGAAGGCAAACTCTACCACCGATCAGGACCATGATGCTTTATCACTTTGACATGTCCCTCAGGACAAACTTTTTCTCTTCTTGTTTTTGAGCTCCCATGTATCACTGAGGCAGATCATGGGTTCTTTATGTGGTCTCTTGATAAGTTATATACTCTCAGGATATCAGCTACCATTTGCACATGGCGACTTCCCTGGGCACAGCATGGAAAAAGCTTCTGAATTCCTGGAACTTAATTTTCTTTTTCTTTTCTT